AGCTTTTCCAGAAGAACTATCATCAGAATCCTATCCTTATTTGTCTAGCACAAGGATACATCAAAGTGTATCAATGATAGTCTAATTAATAGTTAACAAAAAAATTACATTATATTCTAACTACTCGCTAATCTGGGTTTAGAAATATCTAAGATAAAAAACTGGTCATTAACGACAATACACGATAACAACAAAATTTAATATCATTTGCGTTTCACAACAAAATTGATGTTATCGATATAAGACGATCACATGCGAACTACTCTTAACTACTTATCAATAATTTTTCTCTATCTACCCATCTATATCTATAGCTAAAAAGCTCTTATCTTAAATAATGCTCCTGATAATGCTTTGATAATTAACTTGTTATCTAAGTTAGTTATCAATCAAAAAACTAGTATAGGAGACTTTGGACTACAAATGTTTGTTAGTAGACGTCCAATATATAAATATGCACATTATTACTTTAAAATATTTGGATAAAAATAATAGTAATAATAATAATTCTAAATAAGATTGTATTGTACAGATATAGTTTTGTGGTCTTTCCTTTATGAAGAGTCAAATCAACCCCAAATAATGTCCCCAAATCCACTCTGTTTTTTATATTTATTAATTAATATAGCATTACCTACAGTAGTTTAGTGTTAAAACGATATTTGCTAAGCAAGAAAGTTGTGAACCAGAAGAGTGAGTGCAAAATGTCGACAGTGTTATTGTTCGGCACTTGCTAGACGATTTTATACAACCCATAATCTTCTTGTCTGAAGTGTCTTTTCGACATCACCAAAATGTGCATCAAGTATACTTATTTGTCGAAATAAAAATACCTTTCCTTAAAGTCGATTAGTGTATTTAAAAGATATGGTAGCAGATCTGCGTTTCTAATAAGATGGATTGTCACTTAATTATTTTCCTTAAATTTTCGACGATAAGCCACGAAGATTATAAAATATTTTTCATATTTCAATTTCGATATTATAAATTGAGTGTGTCGGTGCTATGTCAATAATAAAAAAAAAAAACTAATAATATTTAAATGAAAATTTGATAGCAACTAAAGCAAAAGGCTTTTATTTGTAGATAGTCTCTATATATTCTCTATATATATAGCACTAGCAGTTTTCACACTTTTAATTATCTGTAACATCATAACTTCTAGAACAAATAACATTTATTATAATTATAAAAAATATTATTGACGACTACAAAAGTGAAATACTTTGTATCTCGTAAACAAGCACGTGAATGTCATGTAATCTGTCTGTTTTAAAAATATTTTCATAAAATTTTGATTTCAACTGAATTGTAGAGATACAATCACTAATTTATATGCAAATATTAAAAATAATACTGGGATATATTTAAATTTTTCCTACACCCACTTGAAACCAGATTTGTAGGCTTGATGGCTGACATTGAAAATATATCTGTTCCGGCATGTGCCAAATACCGACGAGGGCACAAAGCACTTAAATATTGTCAATTATAAAAAAAAAAATCACAAACCTGCAAGTATAAAGACGACTGCAAAACAATAAAAATTAAATCAGATGAATTTCTCAAACTTATCATTTTTTATCTGATTTACTGATAAGCCCCAAGAAATGTTTGCAAAAGTGGAAAAAAAAAAACAATTTGCAATTTACAAGCTTGCAGTTTACTATTCAGCGTTCACTCGGACGTATGAGTGACATTGTTTCCGACTGTGTATATATGGAGACGCGTAGAACTGCTCGTGTAGATCGGTAACTGCTTATAGATTTGCTGGTATGTGTGAAAATTGTCACCAGCTGGAACAAAGCCGCTCTTAGTATCTGAAATGAGCTACTGCTTTGGCGCTGCTGTGCAGTCATTCGCGCGGCATGGAGTCCATCTCTCGTCTATTTTGCTGATCGCATCGAAACCGATCATGTCAATTATTCGCGTTTGTGCGCTGTCCGGAAAGGTCGTGCCAAAACTTAACCAAACGAAATCTATGCGAAATAAGCGCGTAAGTGTGGCAAGTGCTGAGTGAGAGTTCAACAACCAAAATGACAACAGAAGCTTAGAAGCTTCAATCAAAGTGCTTCCGATATAATAAAAATAAAATAATAAAGAAATTTTTTTTAAATGCAAGTTTATGTTTTTAATATCGAAGAGCATTTGGTTCAGTTCGGTTTAAAATATCTAAATTCCATACAGTATTTTGAAGCACTTAAGTACATATATTATTACTGTACACATAAAAGTATTATTGCCATTATTGCAAAAGTGTTAATTTTAATCAAAAGCAGTAAAAATACTTAATATAATAGTATTAAATAATTTTCTTTCAATATATAATGGAATATAAAAATTAAACAAGAATGTGTTAATAGTTCCAAATATAATTTCAGGAGCACAGTTAGCACAGCTGAGACCTTCAGTTTAAATAACGTGGGTAAACAATACATACCAATATATATAAGAACTGGAATAAAACATGTTTAAAAAATTTTCCAGAAAAATCTAAGAAATAGCAGTTCAAAATCTATTAACATGTGTTGATACTAATTTCTAGGCAGCTAATTTAATTTAGAATTGGTTGCCGTGACTTTAGGAAATTTCTATTTTGAAGTTGTAAAATTATTATTAATATGAAATTTACAAAAATATTTTTTTTGATTGATTTTTAACATCCGTTCTGATGAAAAAAATTAAATTCTTAATATAAACTATTATTTTCAATAGAGAGGTATTTTAAACAGTATTAAATCACAACAACGAAATTTTATTATTTTATTAAGAGGTTTTTCGAACAGTAGTGAACTACAACAACAAGAATTTATTTTATATTATTTTAATTAATTGAATTTTTGGCTGACCATACAGCTGTTTTGAGTATTGCCAAAGACCCATCATCATTGGACTTGGAATTATTTCTTATAATAACATTTTAATTTTATTATTATAAAGTTTAATATGTAAATGAATTCAATAAAATTTTCTTCAACTGATCTCTAATAGTTTTCTGTTAGGAAAAACTCAAAAAATCAAACGATCATAAATTACTTCAACTCCAAAATCTTCAAGATCTAAGCATATTTAGTGATATATAAGTCTTCATTAAAATACATTTAAAATTAAGGTAAATATATAGAAATATTCATAAACTCAAAAAAAACTCAAAAGACTAGATTCTCTGAATCTGAATTCAAAAATTGAGTTTCAAGGTTCTTTGAAATAATTTTGCAGGAATAAATAAAATAAATTATTCAACATTAAAGATATTTCATCTAAAGTTCTTTAATAAGAAAAAAAAAATTTTCTTGTTGATAATTAGACTTTATTTTGCAATATAATTTTCTTCAACTTCAATATATCAATATCAACGATTCTTCAATTTCAAATGTCATCTCAGTAGTGGAAAGTTCACAGAATACGCTTTAACAGTATCTATCAACTTTTACGGACCTATTCTGTGCATTTTATAAAATTGTCAAACATTGACACTTGTCAAAATTGACTGCTGTAAAGGTTTTGGTATTCTGTGACATAAATAAAAAGCTCTTTTTCTTATTAGTTGTCAATACTACAAATGCTGTTGACAACTATAAAAATATGCTCTTTTTAAGCATTTTTTATTTTTTGCATGCATGACAAAAATTCTTAACTAAAATATACGCTCCTTACAAGCATATTTTTTATTGATATTTGAATGCGTGAAAAATGCTTTTGGCAACTTAAAATATGTGCTCTTTACAAGCATTTTTTACGAACAGTTACGAACAATTACGAAACAATTACGACAGTTTTCTATACAAAACACTTTACACCATAGTGTGGTGAGAAGCACTAGGTACTTGAGCTTTGAAATTTGTCAAGATGTGTCCAGAATACCAAAAAGCTTTCTGCTTTATAAAAATCAAAAATTTTATTAAAGAATTTGACAAATCTGTCAAGTGACCAGAATAGGTCCGTTAGTTTTATGAAAATCATAATTTTTCACAAAACAACTTTTTGAGGTATGAAAATAGGCAGACATATAGGCAGAAAAAGGCTCGGCGTAGTAACAATTCGTAATATAATTGAGTGATTTTACCGATTGGTTTTGAGTTGAATGAACAATTATAATTTAAGTAACGTATTTATATTTAGTTGGGCATTACAGGCACAAGTCGTCCTTGGCCGTGTCCAGAAGCCTCCTTCAATTAGTCCGATCAGTGGCTTGCAGTCGCTACTTGGTAGAGCCGAGTGCCTTCACATTGATGTTCATCTGGTCTTTCTGCCGAAAATGCGCACGTCCTCAACTGCGTTTTCGACCAGCGGATATCGTACCAAACATCTTTATAGTCGGAGAATTTTCTTACCATCGTACGACATAACTAAGGTACCGAAGCCGCTGAAATTTTGTGCGCTCAACTCTGTCAATATTGGGGTAGAGCTCATTTAGCTCATCGCTTCATCTAATTCTATACACGTTGCCAAGGCGTAAAGGATCATAATCCTTTGAACAGTTTTTTCTTGAATGCATATAATACTTTCTCATCACTGTCAGTTATTCTCTAAGCTTTTATTTTTCTAAGTTTGATATGAAAATATAAGTTCGCGATTTCTGTTTGTTGAGAAAGAGGGCTTTACTTTTCAATTATCTACTTAGTCCGTTGTAATATCTGTTGGAAAAAGTGAAACTTCGTTGACACATCAAATCGAAATGATTTTAACTTAGAGAATAACTTGACAGATTGAAATAAAATGGTTCTATTCTTATAAAACATGAATATTAAAATGATGTCGAAAACTTAGTGACAAGTATGTTGTTGCTATTGTATATAATAATATATATAAGTATATAATGCATACATATATTACACTAAACAGTGTAAATACTCATTAATACTCATTTTAATCTATACTTCTCAATACTCAATCTATTAATCTATAGTACTCATATTACTCATTTTATGTCTAATACTCATGTTTTTCTTAAGTTACTTTATGTTGATATATTAATAAAATCGATTATTTAATATATAATTTTATAATTTTAATTTTTATATAATGCTTATTTCTCTTCAATTACTAAATTACATTATATAAATAATTATTAGAAGATAACTTTGGGGGCATTCAGAAAGGTACACGATTTGATCTATTGAGACACAAATCATTTATTACTTGTCCTCACTATGTGCCTACCAGTTGTCACCTTCGTTCCGCTATTATAAATTTTTAATGCAAATAATGGAGCACCAATAGTTTTTTATTTCTGTTGTGGTTAATTGGTGAAGAACGCATATTTTATTCAAATAGCTTATGTGAACAAAATCATTTAATCATCGTTAATTTATATATAGTAATATTATAGTCAATGCCCCTCTAATGAGAAATAATTTGGAAATTTTTTTGAGATGCCTCACAAAGATTTGTAGTGGGTCCTTGTAAACAGTAATCTACAGCAGTAATCTGCTGACGGATTATAAAAAATCTATATACTAGTGAATTAAACACTCTCTTCAATAAGTTTTACTAACTATGAGAAAAATGAGGAAAGTACTACATATCTGCTTAGCGTATGCGCTATTAGACCCTTAATGTCTTATATCTGGAAGTATTTAAATAATATAAAATCGAGTTATTTTCTAATGAGTCTGGTGTGCATGATTTGAAATTCATTTCGAAAGGTGACAATCAATGGACCAAAAGCAATTGTAGGATATTAAATTTAAACTGTCTATCAACTATTGTTGTTATATCCCGGAAGGAACGGCAATTGGATAAGTTTAACTCTGCAGAATCTTAATTCGTCACCATGCATTGTTAGGCTTTTTATTAATGATAGTATGTTTTGGGGTTTGTTGTTCCACTATATATAGAGAGGCATAACAATTCTGTCTAAGTAGCGAATCTTTTGCCTACCGTGAGCTGGACATACATAAAGAATGCAGACATTCTTCCAACAACTCACTAAAAATTTTATATTTACTTTTAAATCGTTGGTATTACAGTTACGCATTAAATAACGTTCAATATAGAATGGGTTTGTTAAATGCAATAGAAGCAGCTTTTGAGAACTAAAGATCTTGAAGCAAAATTAGAGTAACTCAATTTGTTTTAATAATGGAGGGTATGACATTGTAATGTTTGTTGGTTATAATCTAAGAAATTTTCTAGCACTGTTAATATTTTACTAGTATTACCTTTACTTACAGTTAAAGGTACATCTAATAGAATCTGTGTTCTATGTCAGGTATATGTATGTATAAAATCATAGAAGTCTATCCAAAAATAATATTACACATTGTTGGCTCTCTATCTGCTTAAAGTTCTTATATGCTTTATATATAGAAACATATTAAGCAGTTGCTTTTTAATAAATTTGTTTTTTAATTACTATTATTATTAATTTTTTTTATTTTAGCCTCCATAAACATTGCTAATATACGGTGATTAATACTATAAGTAGTAACATACACACAAATACACGCTATGAAGTTCAACTTTATGAAAAGCAATTCCACAGAAAGTGAGACTAAGTCCTCACCCACCTCGGAAACATCTGCAACAGAACCGCTGGCACCGCAATATTTGCGTCAAATCACAATTGAAAATGATCCAGATTCACTTGATAGTGTCATCAATAATCCACAATCATATCCCATCACAATAGTTCCGAACAGGCCGAATACATTCTATGGATTCTCACCCAGCGGAAAAGTATATAATCGGCAGTCAAGCTGCAGGTATGTGTATCTTACGATTTAAATGTGTTGGATTGGAACACGTGATTTATGAAGTTATTTTTAATATTTTGAATTTTTTAATTTAAAAACGAACTAATTTTAAAAATCAATATAACAATAAATCAATAAAAACCTAACAGATTTTGATACTTGTTGACGCCTGAGAGTTTTGAATACCTTTAGCAAAATATTTATTAGCACAACTTAGCACCTTTTAGTGGTATTAAGAGTTAATAATTTCTTAGTTAAATAATTAATATGAGAATAAAATATTATATATATGATCTGATTGGAAATAACTTTCGGGAAATTTCATGAATTTAGTAATAAGCAGTTTCATGTGAGGTGTTATTCGGATCGTATCAAGCGGTAGAGTTAAGTAAACGACACGGTAGTGAACGGTCTGTTTAATTCGTTGAAGTTTTGAACTAGTTGTAATAACGAGTTACATTTGATTTCGTGCGAATATGCAACGTTCTATGTTGACTGATGTGACAGTGTTACCGGAAGTAGATGAAAATGGTGTCATGGAGAAAGAAACAACTAATCCGCCAATGATAAATCAATGGCGAAGGCAATATATGCGAGGGATATCAACCACACCGTCCCAAGGTGGAGTCTATTATGAGGCACTGAAAGGATCATGCAATTCGTTAGTAAAAGGGTGAGCAACGTTGTTGCTTAAACAGTTGGGCGGGATGATTTATTTTTTTTATTTAACATTAAAATAAAAACAATATAGCCACCTACGTAGTTATTGTTAAATAGTAAAGTTGGTAAGAGGTGTGTGGAATTTGTCAATGTAAGATAATGTAAATCATTTAAAGTGAATACCCTCATTACATTTACAAGGCTAGGTGTTATGGAAGGTGATTTTTGCAAATATTTCTTTTTTAAAATCTTAAGTTAAATATTTTATGTGAAGACATTATACAATTATTTAACTTAGTGTTATATTTTTCTGAAGTTTATTTTGCTACATCTGCCTTTTATCACTATTTGCGGTATGATTAAATATTTAATTTTCAACAAATCAAGTTGAACAAATTTATAAAAAAAATAACATTACGAAGATTCTTTAGATAAAAATATGATATATAATTTTACACTTATTATCAATACGGCAGTAAGTAAAAAATATATACAATGACGGCATTTAATTGCTTTTTCCACATAAATTTGCTGACACAGACAAATCCATCAATTAGCAAATTTAGGCATAAAGTATGACATTAAACTTGAACTCATTATATCCGGACAAAAAATAAATATAAAAAAATAGAGCAATAAAATCATTCGTTTACTAAGTCATATAATCAATTGCATAATGTGATTTATCTGCGAGCGCTGCTAGATACGACTTGCCACTGAAATAAATACTGAGGCTGAGCGGGTTTATCAAGTTACTCCCACATAAGCGTAGCGTTGTAATAAAATGCTTGAATTTATTTTTTTCTAACGCTCAAATAACTTCCTTACATAAAATGCAACTGACATTTATAGCAGTTGGCTTAGTATTTACAATCATCGCAGATCTCTGAGTCAATTAAAACTGTAGACGTAAAAGTAGACTTGAATTATAATTGCATTTTAAAAGGTTAATTCAAGCTAACACTTAAGTATTTTGTTAATTAAGTGAAAAGATAATTATCTAGTATTTAATATAAAGAGTCAGGATGTTAATATAGTTTTTAATTTATATATTAAAGTAAGATATAAACTCTATCTAATCCGCGTTTGCGCTGGCTAGACTTTAGGAAGATATACTCACACACTCTCTCTTTCTCACTCGCACATACAAATTTTTTTTCAAAAATAATACGTATTCGCTTTCGAATATAAAAATCTTTTCAAATTCTAGCCTGTGCAGATTATATTCCACTGAAGAGAAATTCACTTTTCAAGTACAGAACACAGTATCACAAGATCACTTAAAAAAATTTTAGTTTCATAAAAAATATGATCTAATTCTCCCGTAGATAATCAGTGAAAGAGTGTACTGTAATATTGCTTAAAAGCAACAACGATGTGTTTAGTAGGGTTCTATATTAAAGATCTAACAATAAAATTGAGAATTTCTCAAAACTGTAGTTACTTTAAGTTTTAGGTTAGAGTAAAAAGTTGTCAAAGTATTAAGATTTATTGAATAAAATACATCTATTAAAATTGATATTGTTGCGATTAAATAGAGTCGCATCAATTGGAACAGAACTTCACCCTGGTTTGCTCATATTCTCCATAAATTTTTCCTATGCTGATTCAGGTATTATCATTTAGGTCACCCCCTTAAACAAATTAAATTTTCTGTATGGCTCCAATTGGACTAAAACCTCTTTCTTCGAAAGAATCACCACTGGCTATGAGAGGTGAGTACGGTACAATTCGCATTCAATGAGTTTTTTGCCAAAAAGTTTTCCAAAAGACATAAAAATTCTGCATACTGTTTACATATATTATATGTAATATTATATGTATGTATACAATATATTTACATGTATTTATAACATATACACACTATTATATATACAGTTTCTTTTAATATATCTCCTCTTCCATTTCCAAATTAATTATAATTACCAAGAGAAAAAACAATGTCTGTGTTTTTACTGAATGTAATAAATTCATAGTTTTCCACTGCTTAATAAGTATAACTGATATCTCCAATTTTTTTGTTAAAGATAGAATCTGTTCAATTAAAACAACACAATGACTTCAGTAGTTCAAAATAGGTGAACTTCGATTTTTTTTTATCAATAAAAAAAATATGATTGAACTCGGTATTGTACTAGATATTGTACTACACATATATAAATGCGAATATTTAAGATTTTTGACGGAATCTATGATTTAAACAGGTATATGTCCTTAAAAAAGGTTCTGTTCACGGTTCATCATGCTTTATAAATCGGCATCAGCACTTTAAATGAATTTAATTTTAATTTGCTGCGTTTTTTGCCTATAGATTTTATTTTAGTAGTTCGCTGACTTTGGATGAGCTAAGCATAAAATGACACTTGTTAAAAATGTTGTCATAATGGATTCTGCAATGACAGTACTTCATAATTCTACCCCATTTGATACATGAGTGTTTTCTAGTGTGATTTGGAATCTGTATTATGTATGCAACTCGCTTTGTTTTCGAATTAAAGGCCTCAATAAATTCCCGAGATCACCGTAATAATCTGACCGAATCATGCACAAATTTCATAAAAAGGAGTGCAAATATGACAAATCGTATGATCTCGGTAGTATATTCATAATACCATAATACACATCCAGAAAGCTTATCGCGCAACAAGGCCAAAACAGAGGTTATTTTGTCACTTGAAATATCATACTGTTGAAACCATATACTTGTATCTTTTTGCGACCTCCGATGTGTTACGTTTGTTTGTTGATTTATTTAACAAGAGAAAAGTCAGCCCTATCACTAGAGAATATTCGATTTAAAAAAAGCGTCATTTTTTTTGTAGTCAGGGCGAATTACCTAGTAGTTCTGTTTCTTATTCTTAGTTAACTTTGAAATTAATTTTAGTGTTAACTTACAAATAAATAATATATAATTTTTTGCAGTAAGTTGAACTTGAATACTAGTTATAAATCGATGAAAAAGCATAATTTTTTGCAATAGATAGAAAACAACAAAAGTCATTAAACTCACTAAAATCAACTCTTAGGAATGATTGTGGAAGATCGCAGCCGCGTTCATCAGATGCAATCCCATTCCAATAATCAAAGGCAAAGAGGAGTACAGAGGGGTTTAGTATTTAACAGGCAAAATTGATTAAACCCGGTAAATATGGTTGTATTCATTTAGGTGGGAATGGGCTTATACGAAAAGGGGGTAGGGGGTAGAAGCATTAATGCGCAACCTCACAAAACTTAAATAAGATATTAATATCAAAAAATATTACATTCAAATTGTTTTCTTGGTATGTTGAGTAAAACTACAAATTCAGTATATATATTATATATTATATATATGTATATATATTCTTAAACACTTTTCATGCTTTCATAAGCATTCCAGAGTTACCCATTAATAGTCGACCAAATTGGTTCCGATATGATTATGTTAATGCATTTTTAAAAACCACACTAAATATATTGCCAAGTGTGACTTATATTATGATATTATAATCATATTAAATGAATAAAATATGTTAGTTTTATTCTAAATGTTAAAAATATGAATTATTCATAATTAAATCATATGATTGTAGCTTAAAGGCTTATATGGTAAGTAATTAATATGTGATTCAGTTGAATTAATATTTTAATCTCATTAAATACCCACTTCATTTAATTAAATTTAACACCAGTATGGGAAATTTGTTTTAATGGGTAATTAAGTTCAATACATGAGCTATAAAATTATAACGAGACTATATAGTAAAATATGTTCCGATTAAAATATTCGTTTAGCAAACATATACTAGGTTTTCTTTTTCACAAATTTGTGCATACTTTAATAAACTTTGATATAATTTACTGTAGAAGAAGGAGAAGTACGACAAGAAGCAGAAACTTTCCAGCAATCCAAAGATTTATCTAAAATTATTAGAAACTAAACTCTTCAGATCATTATTGAAACTGTTTTGTTTTGACTGTAAATGTCTGTATGGTAACTATCTGTATGTTAGCTGGTTTCTAATAAAATCCGTTGACATATCTTCACTTAAATATCGGAGACCCATCTTGCATCATATATAATAAATAAATGATCACCTATACGCATAACGTGTAGTACTTATGACTCTCTCTATTTCTATTTGTAACATATAAAGACCTACATTTGTAAAGACAACTATTTGCATATTATTAGAAAGGAAAAAAGAAAAAGTTTTATCGTATTGTAAACAGGTTGATATAGCTTTAGAGTAGATTGATGGAGACAGTAAAGTAAGATCGTATCATCTTTTGATTATATTATATTAAACAAATATCGTTTTTTCATTAAGTATACTCATACTTTCTATTTATAAATACACAATTCCTTA